ACTTACTCTATGAGGAGAGATTGGTTTCAGAATATCATCATCACTCGTGGATTCTTCAGTCATCCTCGTATTGCTCGGAGCGAAGCCGTTGGTATCATCGCTACTTTCCCGACTGGATTTACTGGAGATAGATCCAGATGTGCTGCCTACAGCATCATAATCGTTTGAATTGTCATCTTCGTGATGTACTTGTGGGTTCCTTTCAGATATCTTTGGATACCTGGTGGACTCTAGGCTCACAGCCCAAGCTGTTGGTATACCTCCCTTTGAGTCAACGATGTAAGAGATTTCAAAAAGATTCTGCAGTTCGGGCGAAAGGAACTCTGCTGGATCCACCCATTTCGGCCGACGACTATTAAAGACTTTCAGAGGTGCACTATCTAGAATTAGTATGATATATCATGCAACAAGAAGAGTCGACTCACTTAGGACTTTGCTCGGTAGAATCAGGTGCAGGATTGGAATCTTTCATGGCCACGTCGACCAGTTCATCTTCCCCGTCCAAAGATTGAGCAACAAATTTACCGTCTCCAGATGAGTCTGCGTCAGAGCCAGTGGTGACAACCAAGTCTGGATCAATACTGTCAGACGCGCTAGAAGGATCATAATCTTCATTGATACTGGGCCATGTGGTGAATGTGGCCACCTTTTCTAAAAGCTTTCGCTTGATGGCTTCTTCGCTTCGTGCCTGTCATTTGTCAATGATTTGATTAAAAAAAAGTCTAATAGCAATTGGAGAGAAATGCTTACCTCGCTCGAACTAAGAACTATGAAATGCGGTGTAACTGTGAGTTCCCACGAACCCGAAGCAGGTTTTTTGCCATATCTTTCACGCTTGGGGCGACGATGAAATACTGGAACGAGCAATTTTTCAGCCTCTGGAGAATCCCAGGGCAAATGTTCGTTGTCTCCGGAGTTATTCTTGTTAAAACCATTTTGCTTATTGCCCGAGTCTTTGGGCAAATTTGTAGGTGTTGTCTCCAACTCGTAGAAGTTGGCTATGTCCTTAATGCCTTCGATGGCTTCCGAAGCAACTTCATGATCAAGGTACCACTTGTAAAATTTCCCTTCGTAAACCTCACAGGAGAAAATTCTCTCCGCCGGCACTCCGACCTTTTGGCTGACGATACGCTTCAGTGTCCCAACGCTTGCATGCTTGTCCATCTCAACCACTATGGAAACTGGTTTGTCATTGAGTGGAAAGAAATTGACGTTTCGGGTCCATATGTTTTCGATCGGTAATTGTAAAGTCATGTTGTTAAAAGGATCAAAAGTGATACTGACCTTATCACAATGTGGACAGACAAGGGTAGATTTATACATTCCAGTAAACAAGTCTGCAATGACCGAGTCATCTCGTTGCTTCGTAATATCCCAGACCTTGGTGGCCATTTCTCTGATTGCTTCCGGGTTTCCAATCATTTCGTCAGTTGAATCAGGTTTCTCGATATACGGCTTCTTTCTCACTCTGCTGAGATCTTCTTGGAGACCATCAAGCAAAAATCCAATAAATTCTTGAGAATCTTGTTGTCCATATCCTGAGAATTGCGTGGCAAATCTACTGACAGTATTCTTGAAGTTCCGCGGTTGGACTGAAACTGGTGCAGGCTCCTTGTAAATTTCTTTCAGAAGATCTGCATATGCCTTGGCAACGCAACCGCCGTGACCTAGAGGATTATCACTGTTGATTTCTTCCTTGTACACATCGTGCACAAAATACTTGGTCAACTCTTCCACACTTCGAACACACTGTAAAGCAGAGTTCATGTAACAGGTATTTCCAAGGTTACCAAGACCAACAGTTCCTGGCGTGCGTCCATTTTTCGTTTTTCGGTTAAAAGAACGAAGATTATATCCAGACGATGGTACTGGGCTATTACGACCGCTATTATTTTGGCTGCTAACAATGATGCTTGAGTTGTTTTTACGCCCAACACCGTTGGCTTTCCCATTTGGCGAGGCTCTCGTGTTCGAAACAAAGCCATCTTTGCCCTCGACAAGTTCATCGATGACGATTGCTTGATCATCCCCGAGCCCTAATTGACCCAGATTCAGATTGCCATTGTAGTTATCGTTCACTGTCGAATCCTCGAAATCAACTTTCATTCTGCCCGTATCTCTCTCTACCTTGGTGAACTCTGCGACACCTAGTAATAGTTTCTTCCATGAATCTTGTACTTCAGGAGCCGTTCCATTGGTGTCGACTACTGGTGTCCCAGGTCTGGATGAAGGAGGAGTAGCGGCACCACTAACACTTGAAAGGGTTGGGTCCGCGGCGGGTAGTGTTCTTGGCACTCTCCAAAGACGTATTTTTTGCTTGATGGGGATCCCCGCAACCTCCTTGATGAGTTTTAAAAAGTCATGCATCCTCATGGATCTACTCGCAACAACTACAGGCGCATCCGGATTTGCAGACCTCATGGCTGCATCGACTTTATCGCCAAGTTCGGACCATACACGATGGATATGGAAGATTGGAGGATGATATTCGTAAGCCACATTCGCTATTGCATTAGGTCCTTTGTCAGGGTTTGTGTTGTGTGCAAATCGAACGATTGGTTTCGTGCCCGTCATTATATCATGCCATTCCAGAACCATATTCCATGCGTCACCTGGAAACAATTCGAACAAATCTTCCCCGATTCCATGCTTCAGTTGAACAAAGTCCTCGCGTCCAGGCTGAGGGATGATTTGCTGAATGATGTTAGAATTATCGACTGGTCCGATTTTTTCTTCCACCACTTTCTTGCTTTTCGCTCGAGCCTCTGAGGTATTCGAAGTAACTTTCTCAAGCCACTTCCTCGAAACTAGGTACGTTTTTTCTCCTTCGGTGAGTGGCCCATCTCTCGCTGCTCTGATTAAACTTGTTACAGTCGCAACCTGAACGTCGATGGGTGGGATTTCTGTTTTGGGATCTATACTTGCACGTCAGTACTTCGATACACAAGCAACACAAGTGGATGTTACCAATGCTTTCAACGTTCTCAGTGGCGGGCGCCGCTTGAGCACCATCTTCTTTCATAGATTCATCTCTCAGCATATCCATTGATACTGCTCTAATTGCAGTCGGAGCTGCAATAGCAGTCTCTGAGTCTTCTTGTGTGTCTGGCACCATAACCATATCAACATCTTCCTTTTGGCTTGACAGCGGTACATCTGGTTCTAGTTCCGAAGCTGGTCGTTTTAACGGCGACGACGACCTCTGCGGCATATCTTCTGCACCGCCCATGATCGCCCTATGCCGTGGAGATTTTCCTCGTTGCTCTGATTCGAAAGCCTCGGAAGGAAATCGTCGTCGATTTTTATTGCTGGTGAATTCCCCGCCTTTATCGCTATCTAAAGACAGATCCGCGTAGGCCCCAGTTGGTGAACTCGCAGCAGAAGGAATATGATCGCCGGTAATGGAGAGGGAAGAAGGTAGGCGATTTGAAGGTACGGTACGAGGAGGTAGAGATTCTGCACGGTGAATTTCCTGGGCAGAAGTGTCGAATAAAGGCAGATCGGTGGGGGATTGTGATTCGCAACCTTCCACCGACGATATGGGGAAATCAGGGCCTCTATCGGTTTCTATGCCAGGTACGATCTGCGAAGAAAGCTTTCTTTTCTTTGTGGAAGACGTCGTGAAAGCGAGCAGCCTTTGCCGCTCTAGAGTCGTAGATGGTAGAAGAATCCAATGTATTGTTCGTAAGCATCGAAGTTTCCGTAATGCGACTGTATGATTCCGAAAAACTGCGGGAGGGTTGTGATTTTTTTATTTAGGTGAGATGGGAAAAAGGAATGACTGGGATCATTTGTGAATTCGTATCGTCGTGAAATATTTCAAAGAAGGAAAAGACTTGATATTCTGATCTTTGTGGAAAATGCAATAAAAGGCACAAACTTTTAATCCTTTTTGCTTCTTCTTGTTGTTGAACCTCGAAGTAAATATAAAGGGTACGTACTAGGTAGGTAGTGGTGGTGCGGTGGTATTGGTAGTAATGGTAGTATTGGTGGTATTGGTGGTATTGGTGGTAGGTTCTTGCCGCATTGCTCTTTTGTTAGGTAAGTTTATTAGCGGGATGGCCTGAAGATAGATTTTAGGTACTTTTTAGTACGTACACTGTGATCAATTTCAATACAGAGTCAATTCATTAGGTCCTGGTGGTCGTATCTAATTCCAAACCTCTCTTCAAATAAATCAACACAATATTCTCTCTATTTCTCAAATTTATCCAATCACATGCTCGATACCATCATCTCTATATGAACATTGCTATATTAATACACTCACTCAATACACTCAATACACTCAATACACTCAATACACTCAATACACTCAATACACTCAATACACTTAATACCACACCTAATACATTTAATACACTTAATTCACTATATTCTTCACTACCATTATCAATTCACGACTTAATCCCTTCTAGCTCTCTTCCCCCGCATTTAGGGCAAAGGTTACCGTACTGGGAGATTTCACTGATACACAAATACACACCATATTGCACCCTCCCTCTCATACAATTATCAAGCGAGCGTCTAAAATGATCAAATAATGGATCATCCGTTGGTTGGAAACATGTTATATTATATGTATGATGACACATGTTACTTCGACGCTTATTAGAATCTTGACAAATCCAGAGAGCACTTCTTGAAGATTGTTCGGTTTCTTTCCATTTGTATTGGAGAAAATAAATTGACTGTTGCTGCATCGTCCCTGCCCTTGAAAATTCCCGTTATTCATTTATTCACCATTTCAAAGCACGTGAAAAGTATATGGATACAACACCAATTTGATTGTATATCTATTATCTCAACAAAGTCCCCTCACATACTTATCTGGCTACCATTCATTGCCAATTAACCCCAAACAATGCCACCAGACAACAGCAAACTGCAGAACTCCAAAAACAACTCTGCTAGTGCCCTAACCCCCAACCTGCCACTTTCGATACCCATTCTCTCTCAAGATTTCCATCCTATATCAATTCCCATAATGAAATAACATCCTAGACAAGCATCTCATCTGGACCAGTCTGAGATACAGTTTCTGCATACTCAACCATCTCCATATCGGACTTATGTGTGGCTTTCTCCCCACTTGCCATTTCGATATCCTTCAACTTAACTCCAGCCTTCTGCATCTTCTGGGTGTTCTTCTCCATTCCATCGAAGCCTTCATCTTCAAGAGCTTCGACCTCTTTCTTGACCATCTCGGTCTGCTCCTTGATGGCTTCAACTTCTTTCACTACCTTTTCAGAATCTCCTTCCTCATCCTCATCATCTTCACCACCATCGCCTTCTTCAGCCTCCATTTCCTTCTTCAGTTTCTCAATTTCCTTTTCCAACTTTTCTCTCTCCTTCTCTCTCTTCTCTCTTTCCTCACTCTCCTTCATCTTCGCCCTCTCTTTCTCTTCCTCTCTCTCCTTAACCCATTGCTCTGCTCCCTCAACAGCATCTTCCGCATTTCTCTTATGCTTCAACAAGTATCCTTGAATTTCCGCTGGACTAAACTTTGCCTCGGGAACCTTCTCACTGAAGAGCTCTGCTAATTTTGCTATTCTCTCTTCATCCTCAATCCTTCTTTGCTCCTCTTCCGCCGCAATGATTCGATCCAATTCTGCCTGTATTCTTCTTTCTTTCGAAGGACTTCTAGGCTTCTTCTTGTGTATGCCCCGCTTGTTGACTGGGACAGCACTCCCCGGACTTCTTCCTCTATAAGATCCTGATTTAACGCTGCTGCCATTGGAGGATCCATTCTCAGAGCTTCTGAGCTCAGGATAGTCTCCTTCGAGAGTTGCGTAGATACTTTTGAAGATTTGTTCCATGTTTTCCCTAGTAGCCAAATTAAAGTGAACAGTCATGTCGACTCGGCCGGGCCTGATAAGTGCCTCATCTAGCTTTTCGATGTGATTTGTGGTCATGATGAGAATTCTTCCTTCTTGCGATGCAACTCCATCAATCACATTGAGCAATGCACTCAAAGAGACCTTACCCGACTGATCCTTGCCGCCATTCTTCTTTGTCATAGCCTCCATAGCTTTGGTTGCCTTGGTCAACGGAGATCTAGGACCAGCTTCTTCATCGAATTCAAAACTCTCCTCATCTTCGTCGTCACGAGTGTGGGTAAGCCCGGCTGTATCGATATCTTCAAGAAGTACAACACACTGCTTGGGAAGCTCAGCGAAGAGAATATTCAGGGTTTCTTCATTCATCGAACCGGAATTCAGAGAAACGATATAGATCTTTAGTTTGAAATATCCGGCGATTGCGAAACTAAGTGAACTCTTTCCTGTGCCAGGTGGCCCATGGAGTAAATATCCACGACGATACGGAATACCACGGTTAGAATACCATCGCTTAGTGTATGGATGCAGGTAATCTTTCATATCGGCAATGATATTTTGCTTTACCACTTCATCGAGAACAACCGTAGAGAAAGGGCGAGAGGTGCGGGAAAGGAGACGAGTCCAGCCCGGCTCACTGAAGGCACCTCCCTTGGCACCGCCCCTGTAGATAATAGTTTTATTTTCATCGTTTTTTATAAAGGCTTGGCGGCACTCGTCAAGTAACTCCTTGAGGATGCGAGGGTTTCTACCAAAGGAAGAAATTGAAATTTCCTCTCTTTCGCTCACAGCCGAATGGTTTAATGATGCAGTCTGCGAACGTCTGAATTGCAACAATCTCCTCTTGTACCAAAAGTAATGAGTTCCGAAGCTTGGTGTGAATCGGACTCTCTTCTCCTTTTCGGATGCTTTCTTTGGAACAGGATTTCCATCCTCGTCGATCTCAAAGTCATCATCCTCCTCCTCTTTCTCTTCATCATCCTCATTCAAGTTCCACATAAACCACAGACGACTGTTCAGGTTGGTATTGGCGACAAAATGACGAGATCGTTGCGCAAATGGTTGTTCAGATATCCATGCCATTACCATGTTATACATTTCATCGTCAATGCGAACATCAGCAGTTGACATAAAATGAGCGTCAAGCTCAACCCAGAACCATGCTTCGAGATATTGCCAACAGAATACTAGCATACCCAGGATCATGAGCATAGGGATGTAGATGTTGAGGTCGATGGCGGTGTAGTTCTTCAGAGCAGTTGAGAAGAGTGAGAATCCCGGAAAAAACATGTCGATTATATGAGGTTGTGAATAGCCATAGGGTGCCTGCCCAGTGCTATCCTCAGTTGGATGATGTCCGGGATTCCCCATCGTGTTGTGAGGAACGGAACTGTTCATGTTGGCGATGAACTGTGATGAGTACTCGCAGTCTGGTCGGAATGCAAGACTCTAAGTATGTAGATATCGTAAAGAAATAGGAAATTCGAACTGATTTGTATGACCGTTGAGTCACGAGCAGTTTTCGAGAAGGAGGGCCTCACCTCGCTAACTAGGCAGCAACGCTTATTTTTTTCAGGTAAGAATGTAATAAGAAAGGATGTAATGTGGAATTGAGTCATGAGATGATGAATTTTATATTGAAGAATATGTTGGCATTTGGACATCTCGTCGCTCTGCTTTCCCAACAGGCATACCGTCAAACGGTGTCAATCGATTGGACCCTGGTGTTTGCTGTGGCTGTTGAATAGACCTAGTGAGGCTTAGCATCTGACTTCAGTGCGCTTACGGCCACATCATTGGTCACGACCCTGCTGATTAAACTCAATCTTATATGGATGTGATAAAGGCTTGACTTTTGTTTGAACCTCACTGGATATTAGCATTGCGTATGTGGTGGCACGCCATGTTGCGTGGAGGCTCAACTCATTGAACGATGACTACTCGCACAACTGCTCCAGCCTGCCCCGGTATTTATACAGTAATCGGCAGACTGAGCAACGCCCATCTGATTAATCCAACTAATAGATAATCTCCTCGTGGTGATCCCCTTTACTTCCATATTCGCACTCGGTGAAGAATTGTTCAGCCCCACAATTCGGCTAAAGAGTCAGTCGTTCAAAAGCATAGAAGACGAAAGTTTCAACTTATGTCTTTCGCCGTCAAATGCCTCTATACAGCTTAGTATACTAGCTACTAATGGAATCAGGAAAGGTTCGGGTGGAGATGCGTCACTCGAAAATGTATGTCTTGATTCCTTTTAGTTCAATCCAAAGAAGTTGCGAGCGGCTTGGTCGACAACTGGGCAATTTTGATCCAGCTTATATAAGCGCGCTTCTCTAGAGAGCTGCCCCTCGACCCTATAACATGTAAACGCTGGCCGCCAACCCGTACATCTTGTTGTTTTTTAAATCAGGTATCCTATTTTCGAACCACTCCTCTTTTGGGTTACTTTTTATATCAAAAATGGAATTTTTAACTTTCTTATTTATAAATAGAATTTATTGAAAATTTATATATATATAATTTAAATCATTTTTGATTTATTTTGAAAATTTCAGATTTTTAGGAATTTTTTATATTGAAATCTAAAACTTCAAAATATCGATTTTTAAATTTGTATGAGAATTACATACAATTTGAAACTTTTATAAAATCTTTAATAACTTTTTAATAAAAATCATTAAAAATAAATTAAAAATGATTTAAATTATATATATATAAGTTTTCAATAAATTCTATTTATAAATAAGAAAGTTAAAAATTCTATTTTTAGTATAAAAGAGTGACTTAAAACAAAGGTGACTCGAAAGTAGGGTGGTCGACTTAATTATAAGGATCATTCCATCGTCCAACAATTAAAAGAATCCGGGACAAGAAGGCCTTTTCAACCACAAAACTGGAATGCTGCGCAAACCCGCGCGGATACGCATATTTTTTTGAAAAACACACAGTGTTGATAAGTTGCCTTGCGTTTCCCATTGATTCCCCAAAAAGGACTTCGAATTTTAATACCCACCAGCCCACTGGGCATTTTTAATCATTGCAAAAATCACGGCGTCGTTATTCATGAGCACCATACCAACGTCCAGTCCAGCATATCCGTCCGAGTCTCACTCGACGTTCTGTATGCTAACTCCTTTTTCGCCATTTTCTCTCGTTGCTGCGACGTTCATGTTTATTTGCTGCGATGTCTCGTCGAACAATGCAAATTCTCGATCTGCATTGAAAGGTCACAGGATGAATAGACGTGAAGGGATGAAAATGGTGTATGGCCTTCAAACTATTCCTGAGGAGTGACATGTTTGCAGTGCATCTGTCAAAGTCTTGTATATTGGCTAGACTAGCCTCTTGATACACCAACATCTCCTCTAGAAGGCAGCTCCCAGTTTCTCAGAGAACGATCAGCAGCTCTACCTCGATGACGCTCGAAACATTGCATCGACTTGCCAGAGTCTTTCTCGGTATCATGACCCAAGTTCTGGGGCAAAACTTGATTGCCCTACTTCGAGGCGAGGGTTCTATTTGGAGTTTGTCCTAGATATAACCCTCTCCGCTGAAAGCTCACTTCCATCATTGATGCCAAACTTAAACTGTGATACAGTTAATAACCGATCACATTTGAACCTAGTTGTACGATTGGCATTTAATCTTCCGATGCAGTAACACCCATGGTCCTGCGTGTGACTGGCGGATCGAGGAAGTAAGAAGTCAGTATTATAGACTCAAGGAGCAGGAACGAAGTGAATAGTCAGATGACAGGTAGCAGTCAACAGCAAAGACTCAAAAATAAGCATACCATACTATGAGAGGTAGTCTTGGTACTTTAAAAATTCGTACTAATATTTTAGATCTGTTTTCATTTCTTGTCTTCTATGCATATAGTGAAAGTCTTTGTCTACATCCATCATGTTTTATCTTCCACGTCATGGTCATATATCTTACAGGTGGAGATTTTTGAATATCCATGCACCCAATTCCCAAAACCTTTCAAATACTGTACGCGTTATGCATCCATTCATATCTATACAATTCCATTTTTTAAATCAACGCTTTGCCCTCAAACATGCCGTCTCTGACTTCCTTAACCACATCCCTTCTATCTCCCTTTCCAACCAAGACTATACCTCTTCCTCTCTTGCCCATACGTCCAGTTCTACCCAGTCTATGAATAAAATCAATTGTAGAGTGTGGTACATCATATAAAATGACATGTCTTACAGCTACAGTATCGATACCTCTCGAGCCCAAATCTGTAGTGACCAAGACTTTGGTATTAGGTAATCGTCTCTTGACTGGAGGAGCGACCTTTCCGAATGGTACATAATTCGGTTGATTGTCTGATAAAGATCCAGGATGAGAATCTGGCTTCGGCGTGCTGAGTCTGGCGGACGAGGTGAAAGATGCCAACATCTCACTCTGACGTTCCTCAGGAGTATCACGAGAAAGAGCTATAGCATCTATACCCTTTGATTTGAGATAATCAGCCACTTCTTGGGTTTTCTCGCGCTCGTTAACGAACACTAAAATGCGCTTGACATCCATTACTCCTTTGATGGGCCCATCGTGTTCAGCAGCCGCTTTACCAATGGTCCAGATAGTGTCTGCGCAAGCGAGATTCTTATTGTTACGATATGGGTCACGTTCAACATCAACGACGCCGAGTTGGACACGTCGAGGAATGGCGTGAAGGTTTGGTGTGACGAGACGGTTAATTGAAGGAAATCGTTTGCGGAGGAATGAGTCGAGAGAGCGAGGAATAGTTGCAGAGCATAAAATGAGTTGTTCGAGCGATGGAGTAGCGCGATCGATGATTGCTGATGTTAAGGGGGAGAAGCCTCGGTCCAGGAGAGAGTCGGCTTCATCAATTACGAGATGAGTGACGCGAGATAAAATGTTTGGGTCGGAGTCGGCGATAGAGGAGAGAAGATGAGGCGTAGATACAAGTATATCAATTCCAGATGGAGAGAAAAGACGGTTACGAATGACCTTCCCAGAGAAATTAGAGGAAATCATGGCCGATTTAAATTTAACAGTATGGCCAAACGCCTTTACAAGTGTCCCCACCTGTGTCACCAATTCAGACGTGGGCACAAGTATGATTGCTCTCGGTCTGCCTGTCGTAGGATGTGGCATATTTGATAAAGGGGGTGAGACCAATGTTAAGTTATTTTGTCGTAATTTCTCTTCTTGTAACTCTTTCTCATAGGCCTCGATCTCCGCATCCTTTGCCTCTGCAATTTTGATTGCATTTATCGTTGGTATTAAATATGACAATGTTTTTCCTGATCCAGTTTCAGCTGCAATCAAATACTGCTCACTCTCACCTTGCTTTCCCTTCTTCTGTTGATTCCCAAGCAAGGTCGGTACTGCGATCCTCTGTACCGGTGTCGGAACATGGCTCTCAATTTCTGGAAGAGCCTGTTTGTAGATTGCTTCCTTCACACTGTCTAACAGGGCAAATTGCTCGAAGCTATCTAATTCCTTTATCCTATCCTTTATATCCAACCTCCTTGTGTATGAGACGGGCGCAAGAGCCCTTTGCATCTTCAATGCATGAAATCCTCTGCTCTTCTTGTCATCTTTATCCCCGCGATCGAGCCTCGATGATCGACGTTCTTGTGCTGCTGATGGTCGTTCTGGAACTCCACGAATTTTCGCCTCTCGCAGATTCATTCCCCCGAAAGGACCATCTTGCTTTCTCCTCGCGGGTCCCTCTTTTGTTGGCGACGAGCTGACTTTTCCTGCACCCGCCAGACTCATGCGATTTGGTCGACTGGGTAGTCTAGATCTCATGGACATAGATCTGCTGGGCCATTTTTGGATCGGTGGGTTTTGAGCTGCTCTGAATGAACAGAGCAGACATGTTGTAGGTTTCTGCCGGAGCATAACAAATACCAACTACTTTAAGTATATCAATATTTTTTTCCCGCTGCAGGTGTTCTTTTGATTTTCCACGAGAAATTATTCTGTGTTGGCAGAATTAATTGGTTGACGGTAAGAGTAAAGGCGGTGAGAGGAGAAAGATTACTAGGATCACGAGCTCATCTACCGGTGACTTCTTGGTATCTGTACTTTATAAATTCATATTCAATGTGCAACAATTACAAGCAGTTACAAGCAGTTGGATTTTTTGGGGGGTTTCTTCGTTAAAATTTGAGTTACCCTGGAATCCGCATTTGACAAGATATATCGACAAGTTTGCATTGCTTTTCGATCATGATGAACTCAGTTTGCAATATCCACCGCGCAGGATCTTGAATATACGATATAAATGCTCCCAAAACCCTCCAAAAAGCTATTCTTCCATGCAGTCACATCCATTGATACTAACAGTCCATGTTTGAGACCGAAGTTTGGTAGTTGATCCCGCATCTCACGAATCCCAATCATGATTGAGAGAGTGCAATTTGGAGCATGTCGCTACTATGGATCTATCAGTACCCAGCTAAGTAGGCATTGATGGACTTAATCCAACCACTTTCAAGTTACTTCTCTCCTTTAACTCATATATACAATCTGTACACTTTCTTCAAAGAAGGGATCGCTGTACGTCCCCGAGTTATAATCCGAGAAGCCCAGGATCATAATTACTAGGTTATGTATGCAAAATCCCATCAAGTTGACAAAAATAATGTACGAGTATCAATCGTATTCTCAATCCGAGGATAAATGAGATGGCTGCTGTAGCGAATTTGAAAGCTTCGATTTCCTTATTTCTTTTCATCTATCCATGATTGAAGATTTATTTTCTCAGATCCATTCATCCTTTGTCTGTTCCATGATATTTTCTCATTAAAAAAGTGTTTTTGTGTTATAAGCCATGAGAAGTCTCCTCAGTCCAGGCTAATCAATGAGCGAATGAGTGCATTGGAGAAAGAGCGCACGATAGAATACTTGCACTTTCCTTTCATGTTAAAACTGCACAAATCTTGTCCAGGATCTCCGATAGCCCGGGCTGTAGTATGACAGTAAAGATCCTGATACCACTTCGGATGTTGAATTTTCTGGCATTGAATACTCACATCTATATCTACTCGTCAATATTGTTGGACACAGTGTCTGCCTATCCCCCAAATTTGAGAACCCCAATTTTCAATTCAAAATTCAGTCATCATGTAGTTCTTGCCTAGCAAATCACACTCTTTTGGGACTTGCCTTTGTGATTATTTGCAATCATTACGGCCATGCCTTCCTATTAAACTTTAGGGAGTCGAATTACACTCGCAGTTTGGAGAGAGATTTTTGCGTTTCGATTCTTGCCTTAGCAAAATCACGGACAAGAATTCTAGAGCTCAAACTCATCCAATTTCTTACATTATTCTTCTGATCATCAACAAGTCCCCGATACGATGAATATTGACGTAAAGCTTGGCAGAATTTCAGTCCTAGGCTGCAGCCAGTTCGTTATATCCTAGACCTATTCTTTAGTTTGATTGCTGACTGTCCCTAGTAATCTTACTCTACAGAATTCCTTCTCTCGGTCTATCTGCTTTTATGCACGACAATGTGTTGCACCAGGTTGTGAAATTAGATGCGAATGTGGTACATCAATCTATCTCAACCGCAAGCCGCATCAGACCAACGAAGGACCACTGCCACAACGCATGAGCGAAGTCCTATACGATCTTGACGATGATGGGGAAAGTGATTGTTGGCACCATTTTGTGACTCTCTTTTCAAGCTTCAAATTCAAGAATGCTTCAGAGTTTGTAACCACTTTCCACTTTAACATTGCTTCGCAGGAGTCTCCAGCAGCATGGAGTAGTCGTGGAATGTATTCTAAGCTTCTAACTTTCAGTATCCCGAAATGGCTCAGTGTCGACATGAATTAATGGTTCCAAGTGGATTAGGATTGAAAGGGAGTCATTCTCAGAGTGCAGACCTAACTACTGAAGATCCTGTTTCTCGATTGATAATTTCTGACTCTCTATAACAGCTCTTTACTTGCAGCATCTGGTACGGTTCAATGCTTCTCATTTTACTTCTATCTCCCCAATCAACAACTCGGACAGTTGTATCTCGCTGGGCTGTGGATACGTACTCTTCCGAGTGACCTTTGCTGGTGGGTCAAGGTAATTGAAGGCCATTGTGTTCCTTCAAGAGCGAAACGGCGCTGCGCTCCTACTTGGTCGTGGGCTTCTGTCGATTGTAAAGGAAAAAAGCCTTGTAGCCCGGTTGTTTATCATTCGAATTTTCAAGAGAAGTTTGAACAATCCGAAAAATTCCGAATTCGCCACGCTGAGACTCAGGTGATGCCACCACACGTGGGAGGATTCGTATATGGGCCAGTTTGTGATGGATTAATACGAATTAGATGCATCCTCATTGCGGCTCAGATATTTACGCACCCATACTTTGAAGTTGACGCAGAGCATACTATTCAGTTTTTAGAAGCAGATGCATTAGACGAAGATTACGATCCTTATTTCTGGCCAAATGTCTATCTGGACGTTCGGGGTTCCTTCGAACCGATAATGAGTAAGCCCTCTCTGGCTGCTAATATTCTTGATCTGCCCATTGCCGGCGATCTTGAAGATAAGGATTCTACTATGAGCGTAGACGTGATCGAATACAATGCCCCAGAAGATTATTTGTGCTCAGATACAAAAGTATGGATTTGTATGGTGGGAAATATTGTTGACGGCGGAATATGCGCACTCATATTGAAAGAGTGTGAAAAGGCAAATTTTCGACGGTTCGAAAGAGTAGGATATTTGCACAACCGGGTTGGAGCCGTCGGCTCTGAGAACTACGGCTGGCAAAACAATTTTATGCGAAGGGCTGAGAGGGCGGGGCAGATAGTCATTGAGATGTTGTAAGATGGCCAAGATGATCATGCTGGGGCTGTCACACTAGGATATGAGCATACGCAAAGACTATCACGGCGACGATGCATTTGTTTCTACCCGCCCTAATATTCGTTATGGCTTTTTTCAACATATACCAACCCCATGGCATATAGAAACCTCATCCCACATGACTATCTGTTATTACAGACCTTAGCTTTAGTTTCAATAAGAATACACTCATTACACATTCTACATCATTCTTCATAGTCTAGTCTAAGCCGAGACCCAACAAATCAAAACAGCCTCTCTTGCTTACATACATGTGACTCAATTTGTCATACCAAGAGAAAAGACTGAGCATACAAATGATCTCCTAGTTTTGAAGATGTTTTAACTTGATATGATATTTCGAAGAACTTGAGAGGGAGAGCTTTGGCATGCAGTGTTTCGTACACTGTGAGGGGCAACAGTTTCTTGCAAGTTGCACCCACTACCCCAAATCGTGAAACTTTTCGATACCCAGAGCGGAAGACATAAATTACAATATCAATCGGCACCGAGTGTCATAGATTGAAAGTGGAAATGCCCCGCACGGTAATACATCAAAATGAATGAGAAAGTCCCGCGGAGACGGAGTGTATAGGTAGCTGTTACGAACTTGCGCAAGCCATTTGTTTGTATTGTGGCAATACGAGGTGAAAATTCTACATGTTACAGATTAGTTACACTCTTTGATACTGAGTTTCTTTACCTTGGTTTTGATCTTAACCTTATAGATGATATCACTACCAGTAGATATACAGTCGTGAAAAGTTATCGAAGGTCAAGCGAACTCTAATAGTCCTGATCTATGCAGTACGGCACAAAATGCTTCGGGAAGAATGCGGATACAAGATAAGTGAGATAAGAATTCTTTTTTATAAGGTATCATTTTTATCTTTTTTCCCTTTCCAGCCTGGTCAGTCTGTGCTTGTTCTACATTTTTATGATGTTTTACCTGGGACCTTTTAGAGTTACCCGTATTTATCATCATTTCTTACTAGAACTAAAGCTAATCTACACTAGTTTGTTTGTTGGGCTCAGATCCTTTTTCGCTTCCGCAGATCGTCAATCTTCTCCACGTGCGAACAACTGAACAACTGAACAACTGAACAACCAAACAATCAAACAACCTAACAACCTAACAGCCAAACAACTAAGATCCTACATGCGAATCTGATCAACACAAAACAAACTGAACCTTGAAAGTTTACTCAGTTCGAGACTTGTTGTACAGGATCGATGTGCCAACCCTAACACGTCTTGCATTGATCTTTTCATCCGTTCTGTTCTGTTCTGCGATGCGTTCAACTGATAAACAAGAAGATACGCAGGGAAGAACCTCAGAGCTCTTTTTCAAACAAACAAACTCTTTGATTCATCAATCCTGAAACATATCTGTGGATCACATCAAGATACGCCCAGAGCCATACCAGATCTTTATTTATAGCTTCGTTAGTGCTAGTATATTCGAGTAAGAGCTGAAACTAACAGAGTTCGGTGCTCGGTCGTTGTGGTTTCCGATTCTATGCTCTCTTCAAATCTTTCATTCCTTTTTCTTTCCCACGGCTTCAGAATCTAATGAAGAGCTTCACGGATCAACCAATGAGATTGAAAGTTCATCATTCGGTGTCTATTCAATCCGCGATTCCAAATGACCAATTTATGAAGTAATTGAAATCTAAGGCCCCTTCTGCACGGTCAGCAACCTACGCACTCCCAGCCTGCTGTTATTTTGAAGCCAAAGTCCATATCTAGTCAAGGTACAATCCAATAGTTCAATCTGCACAGCACGAAAATCATTTACTACCTGCTCGATCCCACGTTCTTTTCCTGATTCTGTATACCGCAAATTTGCGTACCCACTAATTGCACACTAACTTTCGTATGCTGATCGAAGACATGGCTTCACCCGAGAAGAAGGAACCGTTATACGAGTTCCCTTATAATCCAGAAGATTATGATTACCATTATTATCTAGACATTCCCTATGGATACGACGTTGAAACTTCGACTTACAATTCAGCATTAGAAACGGCGCAAGATTTTACCTCGTCAATATTCGAAGATTCTTACGAAGGAAAGATGGAGAGAAAAGATAGCTTGGAGCTGGAAGCTCTACATTCACCAAGTTCTTTATATACTACTCCAGAATCATCACCCATAGGACCGTCACAGATGGAAAGGCAACTGAGTACGAAAAGTACAAAAAGCTTTAAAAGTACACCAGGATTATTCAAAATGATGTCAATCAGGAATTTAAAACGGTCCCCTCCTCCAGAGCCGCCTTCAAGAAGTATTCGAGATACATACCCGGAAATCTTTGCTATGACTTCAGAGGAATCGCTTGCTGCGTCTACAAAGCCTTCAAGGCCATTTTCAGAAGAAACACTTGCTTCATCTCTGAAGCTCTCAAGGCCGGCATCAGAAGAAATCAAGGTACCAGTGGAAAAGAAGGAGCTTGCTGGCCCACCGGGACCTCCAGGTCTTGGAGGGCCAGGTGGACCTGGAGGACCACCAAAGGAGATCTTTCCAGAGATGGATATGGAAAATAATTTAGTAGGATGGACAGGACAAGATGATCCAGCGCATCCAAGGTATGTTTGATTTGATAGTGCGTGGCCGACACACTCATACTGACCCGAAAAAGGAATCTTCCGGATAAAAAGAAATGGTTGATGTTGGCGTCTGTCAGTCTGATTACATTCTTGAGGTATGTTTACCTGATATCCACCCCATGTCACATCTTAACTGACAAATTATAGTCCTCTATCTTCATCGATTGTAGCACCTGGTATTACACTCATGAATCAAGAGTTCGGTACTACTTCCGACATTCTAGATACCTTTGTTGTTAGTATGTTCATTTTTGGATTTGCGGCTGGGCCACTTGTTCTGTCGCCACTAAGTGAAATCTATGGACGTCAACCGATTCTCATGTATTGCAACTTCCTACTAACAATATGGTAAGTTTAACACTTGTCATGTGCTTGTCATGCAATTGAAACAATACTCACACTACCCCACCACAGGCAACTCGGATGCGCACTTGCTCCAAACATCCACCTTCTCATCCTCTTCCGCTTCCTTGCGGGCTTGGGAGGATCCGCTTGTCTCGCTATCGGTGGCGGTGTCGTTGCAGATTTATTCCCAATCCAGCAACGTGGTAAAGCACAAGCTATGTTCGTCATGGGACCACTCTTCGGCCCTGTCCTCGGTCCCGTGATCGGAGGATTCATCGCCCAACGTGCGGGATGGCGCTGGGTGTATTGGGTCCTCTTGGTTGCCTGTGCCTGTCTTTCCATCTTCTATGTGATCGTCGGAAAAGAAACATCCGCTCCCGTCCTCATCCGCCGCAAAACCGCCGCTCTCCGCAAGGAAACTGGAAATGAAGCTCTCATATCCGCATATGATGCTAAGAAACCACCTGCTGCACTGAAAATCAAAGCAGTCCTTCTCACTGGTATCGCAAGACCTTTCCGCATGATGTTCTCCTCTCCCATCCTGCCTATGCTTGCTTTGTGGATGTCTTTCATCTTTGGACTCATCTATCTCCTCCTCACATCCATCGCGCAGGTCTTTGAACAGAATTACGGATTCTCTATCGAAATCGCCTCGCTAGCATATCTAGGTCTCGGTCTCGGTTTCTTCCTTGGCATGTTCACAGTTGCCAAAACATCAGATCCTACCATCATTTCCTTGACCAAGAAGAACAACGGTGTATACCAACCTGAGTTCCGTCTCCGCAACGGTCTCTTCTTTGCTTTTTTCATCCCCGGTTCTTTCTTCTGGTACGGATGGTCCTCCTACTACCGCGTCCATTGGATCGTTCCAATTCTCGGCTTGATACCTTTCGGTTTCGGAACCATGGGTGTGTTTGCTGGTATTCAAACATACTATATTGATACCGGAAAACAATATGCAGCATCTGCCATGGCTGGTCTCACCGCCATTCGATGTTTGTTTGCGGCCTTCCTGCCGCTGGCAGGTCGGCCGTTGTATGATAATTTGGGATTGGGTTGGGGAAACAGTGTTTTGGGATTCATCGGGCTGGCTTTAATTCCTGCGCCGTTTTTCATTTATAAGTATGGTGCGAAATTGAGAGAAAGATATCCTGTTAGAGTCGATTAGATTTGTTACAGGGAATGGCATCATAGCCACGGTTTGTATAATGTCTATAATTTTTTTGTTCTCGTTAGATGTTGGAGTATACATGGCGTGTATGATGGATGGTGTTAATGATTTGCATGAAGAGCAAAGAAAAGTATATATGAATGACGGCTCCACAGTACCACCAATACCCTCCTTAGAAGTTAGTTATGTTTGTTCTTACCCGGTTTTTATATTGGGGAGGCGAAAAGCAATATTATAATATAGCAAAATAGAACATCCACTTAATTTATCTCGCGATTGTGACTTGAAAGTTGTGCAGGTGAGCAAATAGCCTCAATCTATGCAAATGAAGTGTGAACGAAATCAAAGTCCATCATTGATATTTAGTTCTACATGCCATTTTCTTGTACAGAAAGTATTCTCAACCCGCAATAGAATGCAACTCTTATTGTTTCGAGAGGTCATTCTTGCAAGTGAGCCTACAGAACTTCATAATGGTAACAATGTTCATATCGCTGCATGCCCCCTGCTGTTCAAGAACGATTGACTCCCAAAATGACATCTGAGTAGACACTGTCGAAATCTTAGCACAAATTGTAGCCGAAGAACACTTCGATAGTCAACTTTAGATCCGGCACAAGTCATGTTGTCTTTTGATGTTGGTATAGCAACATCCCGTGTTCCACTGGTATGGCTAGAATTTGATCTGGAAGAAAATGAAAGAAATGGTGAAGTATCATCGACATAGCATTGAGATACTTCAAATGAGATCGCAATGATCAAATATTGTCATTTTGTCTAAGCAAGTTTTCATGAGAAATGGCAACTTGCCTATAATTATGCTTTTCCCTACCCCATATAAACGCCGTTTTGAATCCCCAACTCCATTTCCTTTCAGCACTTCCCAGTACAAGACCTCCCCTACGAAGTCGCAAAAAGCGTATCCTCATCTCTCAAATACTCTCCCGCATCCGCCTGTCGGAAACAAACAATACCGGTAGGATCCAATCTTCTCGCCTCCTGTGTGCTTCTCGCCGTAACCCCAAATCCCAATGGTGTATCGTTCATACTGTACACCACCACACCCTGATGCTCAGGACAATCTTCAGACCATCTCCCTACATGCGCTTTCACAATGTGACCACCGTAGAGGAAGGGCATTTCTCCATTCGCCTTGACCCAGACCTTATAACGGGCGTGTTCGGCGAGGATAGGGAGCGCGGTAATGTGAATACGGAATTTGCCCGATTTTGTGAATTTTCCTAGGAGGGTATGTTAGATACCTATCAGATCTTCGCATTTTTGCATGCTTGCAATGAGAATTGGAACACCTACCCAGACAGATTCCCAATGACAACAACTTATCTCTCGAGATAGAAGTCGCAAGATTTGCGAGCGATAATCGTACATAATAACATCTTGATTGTTGCACGCGGAAAACATATCGATCAGCATTGGGAGTGTTGTCCAATGGCGCAATGAGATTCTTCAACGAGTTTCCCGTATACCCAGCCAATTTGGCAAAGAGAGTTTGGGTTTCTGGTTCGGTGAGAGGACGCATTTTGGAATTGAGATGTTGGGATAAGAATTGTTTGTGAAGTGTGCGAAATGGATGTTGAAGCTCTAGATTTAGATGATCGAGTTCCTTCCTGTGAATTTTTTTTGGCGGGCCGATGTTATTTACTTTACTGATAAGGCTGGAAATCTTTTTTTTTTTGCGGGTGAACCTGCGGCCGCTTGGTATGTGCCCGCTTTAGAATATTTTCTACAGAACCCTGGTTGGAACTTTTTTTCGATCGATAACTTTTATACAAATTTCATATCACCATTGGTTTTTTTGCGATATAAGTAAAGATGGCAAAAGTACCAGCAGTTAAGAGGCGCAAGCTTACACCTCCGCCAAATGAGGGAGAAGATTCATCTCCGTCGACGTTAGAGAATGCGCCAAATTCGAATGCATTTTTCAAGACGGCTTCGAAATGGAATTTAGAACAGGATTACGAAATGAGACCGCGCAAAGGAAAGAAGGATAAGAAAGAAAGTACACGATTGCCAATTAAGACTAAGGAAGGATTGGTTGAACAAGTGGAAGCGCCGGTGGAAGTTAATGAGGAGGAAAGTGATTTAGAATGGATTGGCGCGGATGATGTTGAGGAGGATGAGGAGCCCGAAGAAAAGGTCGAGACAAAACCTTCTGTGCCGATACGACAGCAGATTCTCGAAGCAAAGGAGGAATTGGCACGTATAGCATTGATGTTAAATGAGGATCCGGAAGAAAATGTAGGAGCATTTAGAGCCATAGCAGAATTTGGAAAATCGCACAACATTACGATCAAGAAATTGGCATTGGCTACACAATTGGCTGTTTATAAGGATGTTATTCCAGGATATAGGATACGATCTTTATCGGAAGATAATATGGAAGAAAAAGTTTCGAAGGAGGTGCGAAAGTTGAGGGCGTATGAACAGGCTCTCGTGGGAGGATATCAAGGATATGTGAAGGAATTGGGCAGACTCGCGACAGCTGGAAAAACTCAAAAAACAAGTGATGGTGGCGCAGGTCTTTCGACGGTTGCTATATCTTGTGCATGCGCATTGTTAGAAGCTGTACCCCATTTCAATTTCAGATCAGATCTATTGAAGATATTGGTTGGAAAGCTCAGTACGAGAAAGGTGGACGCCGAATTTGTCAAGTGTCGAGAGACTATTGAAACGTTGTTTAAGAATGACGATGATGGAGCCTCATCTTTGGATGCGGTGAATATTTTAACGAGAATGATGAAAGGAAGAGGATACAGAGTAGATGAAAGTGTATTGAATACCTTCTTACATTTAAGATTATTATCCGAATTCTCTGGAAAGGCATCAACGAATCATGTCGATCATGAGGAAGACAGTTTTGGAGGCAAGAAACTCAAGGAAAAGAGAGTATTCCGCACCAAAAAGGAGCGAAAGTTGATGAAGGAACGAAAAGCGGTTGAAAAAGAGATGGTTCAAGCAGATGCAACAGTCAGTCACGAAGATCGTGAGAGAATGCAGTCAGAAACCTTGAAACTAGTCTTTGTGACATATTTCCGCATTCTTAAAGTTCGATCTCCATCTCTCATGGGTGCCGTACTTGAGGGTTTGGCTCGCTACGCTCATCTCATCAATCAAGATTTCTTCGGTGATCTTCTCGAAGCACTTAAAGATCTGATTGGTCATGCCGAAACAGGAGATGATCTCGAGGAAACCGAAGCAGAAGACGAGAACTCCGAGACCTCTCGCAATCTCACTCGTGAATCTCTCCTCTGCATCATCACCGCATTTGCACTTCTCGAAGGCCAAGACGCCCATAAAGCTCAAGCCTCACTAAGCTTAGATTTAAGTTTCTTCATCACTCATCTCTACCGTACTCTCCACGCCCTCTCTCTCAACCCCGATATCGAACTCTCTTCCAAATCCCTCCATCTCCCCGATCCACACGCCCCTTCCACAACAGACAATAAAGTCAACATCCAAACCACCACCGTTCTCCTCCTCCGCTCGCTCTCTTCCGTCCTCCTCCCCCCCCTCGCTGCCCGCGCGGTCCCCCCCCTCAGAATCGCAGCCTTCACGAAACAACTCATGACATGCGCCCTCCAACTCCCGGAGAAATCGGCTACCGCCATGATGGCTCTCTTAGGTAAAGTCGCAAAGATCCACGAGACTAAGGTGAAGAGTCTCTGGAATACGGAAGAGAGAAAGGGTGATGGTATGTTCGATGGGTGTAGTGCGGAAGTCGAAGGAAGTAATCCCATGGCTAGCACCATCTGGGAAGGAGAATTGTTAAGGCGTCATTATTGTCCGGCGGTGAGAGAGGGTATGAAAGTGGTGGAGAAGAATGTGATTGGGTTGAGATGAGTACCTAGGTAGGGATTGAAAAAACAATCAAGTAGACTGTGGATAATGTGTGCGAGAGAGGTTGAAATAAATACATATTTCTAGACCATTTTTTATTATTATCATATATTGTATGTATGCATCATGAATCTAGGATTGTGAATGATTATTTAATACAAATAAGAAAAATAATTGGGGTATATAGTTATACATGTTCGCAAATCCTCTAGTCATCTAGCCATCCATCTATAAGCCCAGGTATAAGCTATAAGCTCCAACGCCAAAAATACACACCTGTCTATCAATCTATCGTTGTCAAGACGCCTACTCATAATCCCAATCCCTATTTCCGTCGAAGTCGAAGTTGAAAATGGGGATAATGTCTCTCTCTGTGTACAGTACCTCCTTACAAACATCAATAAACCCATGAAAAACTCCATACATGCCACCCCTCCACTCCACCCCGCCCATCCCCATCCCCCCCAAAGCCATCAAACTCTCAAAATGCCTTCCCAATCCCCATCTCCCCCATCAACCTCTCCACTCCCTCCCTCCCCCTCCCCAAAACTACTATCCTCCCCCCCTCCCTCCCCTCATGCACATGACTAATCTGACTCAACATCTGCGCAAACTTTCGATCAATGGTTGCTTGGCTTTGCCAATCGAGGGAGGTGAGGGCCGAGAGAGTGACTGAGAGAGCGTTGATGATTATGCTGGTTACTATTAGGGCTGGGGGAGGTTAGTTTATTTTTTGGGAAGGGGAGGGGAAAGGAAGGAAATACAGACCTTTCATATCAACATCCGAACTACGTTTTAAAGATGCGATGGAGGAGATGACGAGAGAGGCGATCGAGAGAATCACGGAGGCGTAGACGGAAAAACGTTTCCAGAATTTGGCGGTGAGGAAGTAGGGTTCCTGTGGGGTGGGGTGGGTTAGTATGTTTGTTTTTGAGAGGGTTGTGTTGAGGGATGAGAAGCAGGGCAGGAATTGGATGGAATTCGGGGACTTTCTGGATTTATGTGGTAGGGTGTCTGGGTCTCGTCGTGGATGGAGGGCTTGTCGCTGTGCGATGATAGAGATTACTTGATCTCGGATGTATCAATAGCATTCATCATCCTTTTCTTCCCTTCTCTTTCAAACAACGACGAGCTTTCTCGAAAATTTGCGACTCTCGTCCCCAATCAAAATTGCATCTCCTGGCTATCCCATCCCATCATCTCACCAATCATCAATCCCCCAAATGAAAACTGACCGTGACATCCCCCATCCCCATGCAATCCACCCTCATAACGACAACAACAACAACAACAATAAAAACAAATAATAAAAAATCTCACAAACCTTAATAGGAAACAATCCCGCAGCATCAAGAGCCATATCCTCATTCTTCACATCTGAAGTTTTTCCCAAGCTCTGTGGTCTTTGGGTTTCTTTTCGCTCTAGTCGTGCTTCGAACATTGTTGGGAGGAGAGTGAGATGCGATGGTTAGGTAGGCTGCTGGAGTAGGGTACCGGTGTAGGTATTCCTCGTTTCGGTAGTCGGTTGGTTATTTGGGTGTGGTGTTTCTCGTGTGTGTATATCTCTGTGTGTATGCGCACCTCGAATCAAAATTGAAATATCCAATGTATTGATTTCGGGTATCGCTTTGATGTGTAAGATATCGATATAGATACGATGGACGACAGAGAGAAAGAAACCGCAAGACTATAACACCTCAAACGCAGCCAGAAATCAATGACGTGATGCACGATTAACCTACAGTATGATAGAGGAAAATGCATGTACAGTATGTATGTATGTACGCATGTATGCATGAAAGCATGAAAGCATAAAAGCCAAAACCACACAGAAAAGAAGAGTTGCGGGGAAATTCAATATCTGATTCAGTATCGGATCGCGGATGTGCGGTGCAGGTGCAGTGCAGGGTCGCGTGATGAGGTTGGGGAGGGTGATTGGGAGGAATGATGGGTATTTATGGTGGTTTTGTATGAGAGAGATATTAACCTTGCTGAGTACTAGCTAATAAGTAAGTAATAAGTGTTCTACGGCTATGATATTGTGAGGTTGGTGGATGGATGGTTACTGGTGATGTGATGCGATGTGATGTATGCACGAGATGGGATCGTGTAAGTTATCTATTGCTTACTTTTGCATTACTTTTGCATGGAATAGGTCCTTGCAATTTCAAGGTTTGTCAGAGTTTAAGTGTTTTGAATCGATATGTGAGTATCATTATGATTGACGAGAATATTATTATGCAAGTCATTAAGTTTTGAATAAGGTAGTATTGATTATATAATTTAGGGAATCATTATAATAACGTAATTTATCAGTGGGTTGGCTATATTAATGGATTAATCATTTTTACCTCAAATTATCACTTCAAAGCTATATTATTCAATAATAATTAAATCAATTAATTAAAATTATTAAAAATCTAATAATTTAAAATTTATTACATTATTTTAATAGATTCTTATATTATAATCTGGTTTTCTATATTCACTATAACATTAATTAAAAAATACTTCCCTATTAAAATTCCCTTCTTTTTAACACTCATTATATTAAATCTAAATATCAATTTTTTACTAAAATAATATATCAAAAGCCTTTTATTCAATAAACATTCCTTTTTAATATAATTAGGTTTTTTTTATATATCAATATTTACTTAATACTTCATTTATTATTTAAAGTATACAATTCTTTACATTTAAAAGTATATTTTTATAAGCTAATCTTTTTATACCCTTAATTAAAATTAATACAATCTCAAATATAAGTATAAAGGAGCTTACTTGATAATAAGTTATTCGAGATTTAATTAATATTGATTAAGAAAAAGCTTTAATTAAATTACAAAGGGTTTAAAAGATTTATTAATCTAAATTGAAAAAGGAAGGGGTAAGTATATAAATTCGAATATTTAATTTCAAGAATATAGTTTTAGAATTGAATAGAATTAAATCTATTCCTTGAAATTCTGATTTTATATTCTAAAAAGTAATTGATTCCTTATATATAATTTTAAAAGCTATAAAGAATTCAATCTTTGAAATATAATTAATATATATTTTAATAAATCTATTAACTTAATTATTATATAAACATTTTAGATTACTAAAATAGTTAATATCAAATAATTAAATTAAATAATTTGAATATAATAGTAAATATAAATATATAATATTATTCTCTTTATAATATATTTAAAAAGCTATTAATTTATAATTTTTATATTTATTTAATATTAATATTCGATATTTACTCTTTCTTTAATTCTTAACATATTTATTAAAATGTTTCAATTATTTTGAATCTGTTTTATTATTTGTTCATTCATTAAATATAGATTTAATAGCTTATTATATAAAAAGAATGGTTTTGATATATCAATTAGAGAGATAGATTTGTTTTTAGATTATTAGAAATAGGAGAATAATTTTGTTCTTTTTATTTCCATATATTATTGCTATAGTTTATTCTCGATTACCTAATTATATAAATTTATTTCTATTATATCTTTTAATATTAATAATAATCATTATTATATATATAATTCCTATTATAAAGTCTGTTTTATCGAAATTATAAAAATCTTTATTCAAAATGCTATATTTCACTTATATATTTATAACTAATCAAAACCATTCTTTAATAAACTTGAGATCCTTATAAAAAGTTTTTTGGAAATTATAAATATAATTAAAATATATTTTTAATTCGATTTGATACTTTACAAATCGATATATTTAAAACTTTCTAATACATTTTATACTTTTCAATTTAAGAATATAATTTTTTATATTTTTATATTCTTAAATTTAAATAAAAAACCTTTTAAATTTATATCAAGAATATATTGAATAAGTACTTTCTCTTTTAATTCAATTCAATTATAACTTTTTAATTGATTTTTAATTATATTAGATTTACCTCGAATTTTATTATTTAATATAGTTCAAAGTATATAATAAAACTAAACTATTTTTCGAATTGATAATTTTTTAATTAATTTAATAACTTGAATAATTAAGATTATATATACTTTTTTAAAACAAATTTTTATAATTAATTATGAAGAAAATATATATTAAATATAGAATAATAATTTAAAGTAAAAGTGGCCGATTTATTAATATAACCAACCTACTAATAAACTACGTTATGGTTTATTAGTATGTATATTATATTAGTATATACACCACTTCAAAATACATCAAAATTAGTCTTTTATTAATATTTTTATCAATTTATTTATTATTATTTTTTCTCTAAAAAAGTTTTCTTATAAATAATAAAAATGAAATATTTATAAAATTTAATCTTTTTATAAATATCTCAATTATAACTTAAGAATGTTATACTTTATATTACAAAAATCTATTTCTTTGAATAACTTTTTTATTATTATAAGATTTTACTATTTTGATTCATTTTTATATTATTTATATAGATAAATATAATATCTATAAAGAAAAATTAAATTATATTAATAAATAAAAAAAGTGTACAATTATATACAACCGTTTTTTATATATAAAAATAATAATACACGTACTAATATAATACACATACTAATAAACTACATTATACTAATAAACTACGTTATACTATAATTAACATAGTTTATTAGCATATGACCTATATCAATATATAGCTCATTTTCATTTCAACTTATACTTTCAAATCTATATTATTTAATAACAATTGAAATAATTAATTAAAATTATTAAAAATCTAATAATTTAAAATCTATTATATTATTTTAATAGGTTCTTATATTGTAACCTATCTTTTTATATTTATTATAATATTAAATAAAAAATTCTTTTTTATTAAATTTATTCTCTTTTTAATACTTATTATATTAAATTTACATATCAATCTTTTATTAAGATAATATATTAAAAGCTTCTTATTTAGTAAATACTTCTCCTTAATATAATTAGGTTTTTTATATATATTAATACTTATTTAATATCTTATTCATTATTCAAAGTATATAAATCTTTATATTTAAAAATATATTTTTATAAGCTAATTATTCTATATCTTTAATTAAAGCTAGTACAATCTCAAATATAAATATAAATAAACTTAATTAATAATAAGTTATTCGAGATTTAACTAATATTTATAACGATCCTATCATATTAGTAGATTACTTAGGGATTCACATAATTCATAATCCTGTATATTACCACTTCTCTTTTAAAAGCTTTTTTAGCTTTTTATTTTAATATTCTAAATAATATAATCGTTATATTATATTAAGGTTATATAAATTTTAAAAAAGCTTTTAATTGTTCCTACAAAACTTTCTACCGTTAATCTACTCGCTGAATACTTATTACTTATTGTTACGGAGGTACCCGCACCGCAACATGGATTATAAGATAAACCTAAGGCCTTGGTGTTGGAACCTACGAAAACAGCACTGTAGGGACAGTTGAATTAAAGGGTAACTAAAGATAGAGGTAACCAGATAAGTAATCAGTGATTAAAAGATAGGTACCCTATCTTTTGTTGTTACCTACCCTACAGTGGGCACAGGGTAAGCAGCAGTCACAGGTTAGATAAGCGGTGGCATTATTACCAATCACGGGATGGACATCACGTGATTAGAAAACCGATTTGTCGAAATCGGCTTTACGGTAATCGACTTGTCGATTCATAAGGTACGAAGATCTATATAAGGAAATGGGTTTCATTATAATGTAGAGCTTCGTGCTCAAGAACAATCATTAGTTTCATTACTATAGTTACGAGAATTGCAACCAGTTACAACCTTATTGAATTCCTACTTGAAGTTTAGTCTAAACCACCTCGAGAGAACTCTAGACACTTCCACGTGACCCTAGAGGCAGCTCCCGTAACACCTTACTCTCAATAAGCTGATATTTTATTATTATATTACTTAAAGTTTTCTTATTTTATCAATAATAAATTCAAAGATTCTAAATCTAATATACAAATTATAAGAATTAATTAATTTGAAATATTAATATACTTATATAATTAATACTATAACAAAATATCTTATTTAATTAATCTATTAGATTAATTTATATTCTATTAGCATTCTCATTACTCCTTTATTAATATTATTAATAAAAAACATATTTCAAATAAATTTTCTTTTCTTAATTTATTTTATCTTTTAATAATTCTTAAAACCTCCTCCTATTAGTTTCAAAGTTTTTTTTATAAAAATAATGAAACTATAAAATGTATATTTCTATAAAATAATTAATAATATTATAAATCATATTATAAAAAATATTAAGATTAATATTGAAATTGTAAATTAAATATTAGAAATAATAAAGAATATAGATTATAATATAATTAAGTTATAGAATTACATTTAGAATATTAATATATTCGAAGATGAGCTTTTTAGAAGGAAAAAGTAATATAACAATTCTGTTATATTAATAAATCGCTTAGGAACTCATATAATCTACAATCCTATATATTATCACTTTCCTCTCAAGAACTCTTTCAGCTCTTTACCTTAGTATTCTAAATGATGTAATCATTACAATATTAATTAAAAAAAAGCTTTAATTAGATTATAAAGGGTTTAAAAGATTCATTGATTTAGATTAAAAAAGGAGGGGATAGATATACAAACTCGAATATCTAATTTCGAAAATATAGTTTTAAAATTAAATAGAATTAAATCTATTCCTTGGAATTTTAATTTTATATTCTAAAAAATGATTAATTTCTTATATATAATTTTAAAAGCTATAAAGAATTCAATCTTTGAAATATAATTGATATATACTTTAATAAATTTATGAATTTAATTACTATATGAGCATTTTAGATTATTAAAACAATTAATATTAAACAATTAAATTAAATGATTTAAATGTGATAGTAAAGATAAATATATAATATTATTCTCTTTATAATATATTTGGAAAATTATTAATTTATAGCTTTTATACTCATTTAATATCAACATTTGATATTTACCTTTTTTCGATTTTTAATATACTTATCGAAATATTTCAATTATTCTAAACTTGTTTTATTATTTGTTTATTTATTAGATATAAGTTTAATAGTTTAATTCATAGAAAGATTGATTTCAATATATTAATTAAAAAGATAAATCTATTCTTGAATTATTAGAAATAAAGGAATAATTTCATTCTTTTTATTTCCATATATTATTATTATAACTTATTCTTAATTACCTAATTATACTAATTTATTTCTACTACATCTCTTAATATTAATAATAATTATTATTATACATATAATTCCCATTATAAAATCTGTTTTATTAAAATTATAGAAATCTCTATTTAAAATATTATATTTCACTCATATATTCATAACTAATTAAAACCATTCTTTAATAAGCTTAGAATCCTTTAAAGAGTTTTTTGAAAGTTATAAACATAATTAAAACACATCTTTAATTTGATTCAATATTTTACAAATTAATATACTCAAAGCTTTTTAATATTCTTTATACTTCTTGATTTAAAAATATAATTTGTTATATCTTTTACATTCTTAAGTTTAGGTGAAAACCCTTTTAAATTTATATTGAATATATATTCAATAATAATATCTTTTTCTAGTTCTAAAAGATTATAAGATTATCGAAACATGTGACCAACAACATAACATTACATATCACACTTTACCCCATATACACACACAAAGTATATAAATAGAGATAATACATATATATACATATAACAATTCTCTTTTCATACAAAAAGAGAAAATAGAAATAAACAATTCATTTACTTATACATATTATATATACACACCTTACTAAGTCTGTCCAACAAAGATTTATATTGATATTCTATATGAGAAATAAAAACATTAATTCTATACTGTAATATCATATATAAAATATTATATATATTAGTAATTTTTCGAATACTTTGTTTCTTATCTTTCTAAATAACTTTAATAATAAGGAGTATACAGGCTTCTTGATTATTCGAATTCATAATAAATTGTTAATAAAACATATATTGAAAAAGAAAGATATGAATTGAAATAAAAATAGGCCATATACTGATATGGGCTATATGCTGATAAACTACGTTAATGGTTTTTAATCGTTATAAATTATTATGTTAAGATTAACGTGGTTCATATACGAGTGGATCATATCATTGAACGAATTACTTGAAAATATAATACTAGGGTATAGCTGTTTGTCGAACATCAAAATTACATCAAAACCCATATAAATTATTTATACTTTATTGAATGAATATAATATATATATTAATAAATTTCATATTAGTTTATTTAGTTTCATTTGAAATTTAAGAAAAGAAATATCACTTATTTTTAAGATTTTTATTTATTATAAAATATATATAAAAGATTAATAGAAATTAAAAATATTGAAATTTACTAAAAAAAAAAAAAAAAAAAACTTTCCTTTCAATATTAATTCAATCTTATAAATATCAGTATATATTTATTTTAAAATAATCAAAATTTAAACAATAAATTCTTTATTATATAATAAAATCAAATATAAAATTTTAATTAAATTCAATGATTTTAAATATTTCTTTTTTACAATTATAAATAAGACAAAATGTCTGTTTTTAATGCGATTTTTGAAACCGACGAACAGCTGTATACGGTTACTATATACTAAAATTAGTCATTTTTGATATTCTTATTTTAATAATCAATTATTATTTTTAAAAGAAAAAATCATCAAAAATAATAATAAAAATGAAATATTTAGAATATTTAGGTTTTTTTAAAAAAAAATTTAGCTTGAAATTGTTATACTTTATATTACCAAAAACTGTTTTTCTTTAACAACTTTAATAATACTTAGAATTAATTTTTAAATAAAAATTAGATTCTTAAGATAATTAAAAAAATTAGATTCTATATATAAAATTCTTAAAAGATTCTACTAACTTATATTATAATAAACTAATAATAATTATACTTTATATAATTACAAATCAAACTCGATCATTGAGTTCAGCTCGGCTTTTAGACTTTCCTTGAAATGCCATTCCATGATATCCTCTTTGCTTCCGATTCCAGAATAGCCAAAACGCCTATTAGAAAGAAGATTCATTCATCCCAGTCGTAGTAACTTATTCCATATTCAAAATTGGGCTGGAGACGATCCAGTCAAATATCACACTAAGCACCCCACGCACCAAAAACATCCTGCCACCAACCATCATCCCACAACTCCTGCCCCATATCCAAATTGAAAGTTGGGAGTTCGAAACCCTGACCTTGAGTTTGAGGTATGGATTCCGTACCCATAGTTCCATTTCCATTTCCATTTGCAAACTTGTCACTCGACGCATTACTCGAAGTTTCCCCCGCGATCTTGGCATCCCACCACGTTTTAATCAATCCAATTCTCTTCGCATTAGAAGTATATATATCAACATCATCTACCCTCGTCAATCCAGTATCTAGTCCAGCTTCGTCTTTAACATTCTCCCACGTCTTGACAATTTGATCTAGGATGAGCGAGAAATCGAGTTGTTGACGCACAAGTTGGACATCCCATTGTGGATCTTCGAATACGGATAGACGATAGAGAGCTACCATGCAATGTGCCATGTGTGTATAGATTGGGAAGGTAAATGAGGTGTGATCTCTACATGGTGTAGAAAAGTAGAGTTCAAACCATGATTTTACAGATTAGAAACAGAGGGAAAGGGATTCTAGACGTTGGAAATCAGGCATGTCAGCAAGAGGTTCTTTGGAGAGAGCAACTTCGTGGATCGTAAGTTCAGTGTTGTATAGATGCATCAAAAAAGTACCTGTGTATGAATAGTTAGTATTACTGTTTATGCATAAACAACTTTCATTTGTTTTGACAAACATACAGTTTTCTCGAACTTCATTTGGAATTTGTTGTCTGAATGTTTCCATCTGATTTCTCAAAGCCTTTAGATAGAAGACAGCAGGTGCTTTGAACGCGGTACTTCCATCGCCTGCTGCATCATACCACGGGGCGTCTTTCACGCGCTCCTGAATTTGTTGTAATTGTACAATTTGAGTCATGAGTGTATCATGAAGTAACTCAGGCTTTGCAGAGAGTATCTTTAAACATTCATCTGCGTACGGTGTCCATCGGAGAGTGTCAATCTTTTGGACATATAATGAAAAGCTAGACGAAATTAGACATCCCTCATAAACCAGATCGGAAGAACGTACCTAGAGCTTAGAGAGTACAAGCAAAGTAAAGCTCTTTTTTCGTGTTGCGATCCAACTGCAGGTATAAATGGTTTTGGACATCCTCGGGCGTCAAAGTTCAAAAATAAATGCGGTGCCTCTTTCTGTGGTGATTTGTTCAATCCGAGATCGAATACTATTCCCATAGCAAGTTGAATCATACTACTCCACTAAAAAGCAATGGGTCAGAGTATGTTTCGTACTGGACAAGTTAAAGATGACCTACCACTGGTCTCTGTTGGTAATGACATTGACTTCTACTCAATGTTAATATCCAATCCCCAATCAAGCATTGAGCTCACATACCATGCAATATAAGTTAATAGCCCCCACAAAAGATCAAGATTGCGCTCGCCAGAAATAAGTAGTTTTTGACATAAAAGTTGACGGATATGCATCCCCAATGCGATTTGTGTTGAAGTCCTCTTTGCTGTAGCCATTACAATGGCCAACCACCAAAATGGATTCTCTTTCTTGAATTTATGGACATTCGTATCTGGCGGTATGACAATAAATGGTAGGTACCTTGCCGAATTAGTTCGAAAGTAATATAGTGTATTCTCTTCTTCTGTCAGAGACAATTCTAAGTCAGGTGGAATAAGAGACACAGATGATGTTGCCGTGGATATATTAGTAGCACAGTAATCACCACTAGTATCACGAAGAGGCTTCCCAACGGCTGGTCCTGGCAGAGGCGGATGAACAGGGATGGAGTTCAAACTATAAGAACTATTGGGGGGAAGCTTAAGGTCGATCGCTACAAGTCCTCTTACGGGCGGGTTACCGGTCTTTGATCCCGTCTGATATTTGAAGCCCTGAGTATTATCTCTAAGGTCAGACGACACAGTATGGTCTAATACCGTTGAAGAAGGGGGAGTATTTTGATCTTGTGTAGCTGCAGTCAATAACGAAACTAGTCCATCAAGCTTTTGCTCGAGCTCGGCAGTTCTCGTAGCTGCGGTTCTCCTCACTGACTTTCGTCTTCTGGTTCTGGTGATTGGCTGGCAGTCCTTGATGAGTCTATGGCATCTAGAAGGTATTAGTTTGTCTCTTGAATGATCTAGTCATACAAGATCCGAAAGAAAAAAGCCCTAGACTAGTAAACTGCCGCGCCCTTTTTTTCAACCACACATAGATTCCAAATACATTGTGCTGTTTGAAGGTTGGTCAACGTTTCCATTTCAAAACCGCCAAACTCGAAATTACCATAGACTGACACAGTTTTCAAGTTTGGAAATCGGCCCACTGAACTCGGCATTCTAGCAAACACAGACGGATTCGCTACATGCAGAAAGAAGTCCACCAGCAATCCCAGTACCATGGAATTGGAACCGCATCACGTGATATAATTGCACATAACATACCTTTCGCAAGCAGCAACACCATTCTTTTCTACGCATTTAACCTTGGCTTTCGCACAATTGACACAAGCTTTGCCATGTTTTGGCGTTACACTATTCTCCTTAGAAGGCTCCTCCATTTTCTTAGCACTCCTGGCTAGCAAGCCGTTGACCAATTGGAAGGGCAAGTGGTAATAGGGCAAATAAATGTACAAAGACGGGGAAGAGAAACACTTTCGGAATTTGATAATTGATTTTTCCTATCGTACGGAGATTCAGAAGAGGATACTGGTATCGCTCTGAATGAAAAGTCGTTGTATATTAGATCAATAAGCAAATTGATTGTGAGTCTCTTTTCAATTGTCAAGCGGAGTTTGGGTTCGGTTTGAAGCTCCGTCTCCGAGATGGATACGGACCTTCAATCTCATCATACGTCCTTAATTGGATGTGATGACCTCCACCACCTCAACCTTTCGTAACCAGAGAATAGTTTAGTAATGCTTATATCTCAACATTCGACTTGAGATTGACAATACCATCACATTGTGTTAGTCATCATCGCTGGTTGATGGGACTAGTCTCTTTAAACGGGATCGTTGAGTATGATCTCATTATCGCCGTATTTGAGGAAAGTGTCGAGTATGTATCAAGGAGTTGAAGCTTCAATTCAATGTGCAGCAGTTGGGAAATCAAATAACTTTTCTTTGCGATCTACAAAATACCATACACAGCCAGCTAAACCCCAAACTGTCCACAAACCAGCCAGCTAACTCCCTTGCTCCCGCAAATGTGCCAAATCGCAAAAAGCATCAATACAAATGTACAGGCTAATATAGGTTCTCTTCTAAACCATCTATCAACCACTACCAGCAATTTCTCCAAACCACTGTCTCAATACTCCTGCTAACACACCTGGCAATTCGCCTACATCTCCGACCACAACATAATATCTAAATGGGAAAGTATCCAGATATCTCACAATCTTTACTTCATTTCTTCCTGTCATCTCATTGTTCACAAACTTAGCTTCCTTGAGATCCATCACACTTTCTCCCTTCTTCTTAGTTCTCACATCATCCACAATCACAAATACCATCAGTATTCTTTCTTCTTCCGCTTCTCTCAATAATCTTCTGATGTTATCATGTTCAGAAGAACTACAAACACCATCTGAGATGATTAACGAAATTTGCCAAAGATCCGCTGGAGATGATGATGCCTTTTGTCTTGCGGTACGGAACAAATTGATACTCTCGCGGATGAGTCGTGTAATATCAGTTCGCGATTGCTCGAATCCGAAATTTTCAAAGATAACAGGTCCAGCCTCAGAGCTGAAGGGCACATCGAATTCATGTGCTACTTTAACGTTCTCTCCAAATCCAACGACACATATCTCACCAACCTCAAGCATAGCGAGAGATCTCGAGATCATTACCAATGTCTCCATTGCAAGACTTCCAGAACCGGATTCTCCCATGGATTTGGAGTCGTCGACAGCGAGCATAATTTGGTAAGAACGTTTGGAGGGGATACTGCGACGCATCCAAATCTTATCGCGCTTAAATGAAGAAGCAATGTAAGGAATGATTCGCTTGATGTTCAGACGTTTACCAGTACGGAAATCACCTCGCATTTTAGTTGCCAATGTAGGAGCGAGGATCAATCGGAGTTGCTCAGTCAAGGAAAGGGAAAGTGGCCGCGTGATAGACTCATAATGAGTCCATTGAGCGCGAGCTTCGGTTGCAGATCGAACAGAAACAGTGGTACTAGGATCAAGATGAGTATTATCGAGCTGTGTGTCAACTTCTTCGATATCTTCATCCATATCCTTGTTGGCTTGAGCGTGAGTATTGTCGTCCATGTTTTCATCCATGTTGTTATTTGCTTGATGGATAGAAGCACCTGCTCGACCTTCATATGCGTTGGAGGGTTCCTCAGGTTCTTCAGTATCGTCTTCGAGATCCATAATATCTTCATCGACGGCATCTTTCTCAATTTCATCTGGCTGGAATATTTCTGGCATATCTTGAGTTTCCGGATCGACAGCCATAGATTCATCAAGAGCATGAGCTTGTTCCTCTGTAGCGGTGCCTAAGGCTTGAGTGTCCGCTTCAGCGTCTTCGTCTTGCAAATGTTGGAATTCATTGCTTTCTGTCCCCATATCGATGTTCTGATCTTGAGCTTGGTCTTGTTGCTCAGTAGGCTCTCTGATTTGGGACTGTTGACGATGCCATTTCTCGAGAGCATCTCCAAGCTTCTTGAATGGCTGGGCAGTAGGGCTATCTTCAGTGTCATCTTGAGTGTTCTGTGGCGCATCACCTGCAGCTTGTCGACCCTTTTCACCATCTTCGGTAGCTGATTGTTTGTTCTCAGATGAGTCGCCACCTTGACCACCATCATCTCTTTGAGCCTTGCTATTGGAATCGGCATTTTTATCGGCTTCATTGTCATCCTGATCCTCGCCAACACCTTGAACGTCACTTGGAACAGCGTTCTCGGTATCGGCTGTTGCTTCATCCTCGCGATCACGCAACAAACCTTCTTCATCTTCCGGTTGTTGTTCCTCTTCTGGTTCTTCATCAGCTTTCTCGCCAGCCTCTTCTGTCTTCTCCCCTTCTGCATCTTTTTCTTCATCCAGATCAATAATATCCATCTCATCACCCATATCTTGATCTTCCTGGCCATCGGCATTCTCGGCATCCGCTTCTTCCTTGCCATCATTTGCAACTTCATCTGTTTCTTTGGCCTCATCTTCCATATCCGGAAGATCATCCATCCCGTCATCCATTCCATCATCACTACCATCGCTCGCCTCTTTCTCCTCTCCATCCAATTGCATATCATCAGGTAAATCCAAAGCATCCCCTTCATCGGCATGTGGGTCGTGCTTTTCTATATCATCTTGTTGCTGGACCTCCTCACTTTGCTCAGCTCCCGCCATCTCCTCCTCCTCTTCTTCCCCATCATTACCCTCGTCGCCTTCTCCAGATTCTTTGTTATTTTCTTGAGCCGCGACTTGTTCGTCTTTGGAAGCTTTTCCTTTTGATTCATCCCCTTCTTGATCTTTCTCAGCTTGCTCATTATCACCATCCCACATCTTCTCATCCACTGCGTTAGGATCCAAATCATCCACATCTCCAGCTTCCTCATCCATCTCATCGCCATCTTTCTCTTCATCTCCTGAGCCATCCTCGTCTTCTTTCTCCTCCGCTTCTCCCATTTCGCCTTCCATCTCACCATCAGCCATATCAACGGCATCTTGTTCATCTTCAATTTCTCCTCTCTCTTCCTTGTTTGGTTCCTGAGCCAATTCATCAAGATCCTCATCTTCTCCAATGTCTTTGCTTATATCCTCAGCACCTTCTCCATCACCAAGTCCAGTTCCCCCTTCTAATTTCTCGGTCTTGCCATCTTGTGCATCCTGTTTTTCTGATGGTGTACAGAAACCTTGTGATGCGATTTGTGTAAAAGTCTTGGCAAGAATGTATGAAGTCTTGCACGTTGAACGATGTAATGTAGCGTACCGAGCTATGCTTTCTTCCAATGTGTTGTAGTATTGTTGAATGATTGGAAGGGCAACTGCAAATATCGCACCAGCGCTTCGACTAACATTTTCATCTGCAAGATTGAGACATCGAAGGATAGCAAAAGATTGCTTAATTTGCCCAGCAACATTGTCGCAATGGAGAGATTTGATGCTATTTACGAGGGTAGTATCGCTCTTGATGAGCCAACCTTGATCTTCAGTTGACGTCGGCAGATCACCGATGGATTTGTGATACTTCTCCATGGCGGCTAAAATTGTGTTGCAAACAGTAGAAAGCTTCTGATCGAGATCTTCCAGGCCGGCCTGTGTAGAAATAGCTGTAGCCGGTGATGTGTCGATGACAGTCCAAGGTAAGATCTGATCGAGGATGAACCCTAAGTCTGGACGCTGCTCGATGAGATTGCCCAAATCAATTGTTAGCTGCTCAGTGGCATCATTGATAGCCATTTCGAGTTCTAAGCGTTGAGTTGACACAATGCCAGATGGTAAAACAGATGACGAAGACCATCTAGTTCGAAGATCAACGAAAATACCTTTCCACGTGAGCAAACTTTCCACGACTGGTTTAGCATTGACCTTTCCAAGTTTCGCATGCGTGTTAACAAGCTCCAGTCCAACACTCAGGATGTTTGGCAACCACTGCAAGGCATTCTCGTGGTTAGAGGTTGTACTAGCGGTCTTGAGCTCATATATTTCCGGAGCCCAAAGGTCCTTCGTCATTTTGATGATATTTCGCAAGACTGTCATGTTTGTCATTGCATTTGAGAGACTGTTGCGTTGATCTAAGAGAGCTTGTAACAAGCCTTCCAAGAACCCAGTACTTCTAGCTACCTCTGCGCCACTTAGATCATCAGAATGTTGTCTTGATGCCTCTCTTGCTCTTGGAGCAAGCTCCACTGTCTTGTGAAAGTAGTACTCTAAATCTTGAGAACCATTCGGAGAGATATGATTCGTGTTTGCTAGAACAAGAGACATCGAGTCTTGCTTGGCAAGTGCGTTGACACCCAAGTTGTATTTGATTCCCATTTGGCGAAGATCTTTCAATGTATCTGCAAAGAGTTTGCGCTTTTGGGATTTAAGATGTTTAACAATATCTTTGTTGCCTTCCGTCAGGATCGATGGGGTGGCCTTTTGTAACTCCGAAGTTGACGTGATGATGTTCTCGAGGAACGACTCAAGATAGCTTGATCCATCCACTGAAGACGCAAGCAATTGACTTTTGGCTACCATCATACTGACGGTGTTAGATACATTGACAAATCTCTTGGGTTTTTGTGTCCAACTAGGAACTGTGGAAGCACATAATGCGAGGGCAGATTGGTCGACAGTTGGAAATTGTGTTGGAGGGAGGTAGCTTATGCCGGCTTCATTGGCAGCGACTTCATCAGGGAGTCCTTGCTTGATAAGCGAGTCCATAGGTTGGCCAAGGAGTGCTCGATATTTTCGAATAATTTTGAAAAGCTTGTGATGAGATCTCTTGGCACTGTCGCGTAAGGCAACAATGTTTGTGTCTTTCCAGCTTGCAAGAAGTAGCACATCGCGCATGGCTTTCTCTAGTGATACTCGACCCCTCTTCAAGCTATCCTCTACTGA